AGCACTGGATCCCTAACTATGACCAACATTCCTAAATTAACCATCTTTACAGGCAGAGTTAACTGAAATTTAATAATTTGACTCTCATTTTCAATCGCAAATCAGGGGGAAAAAAAAGAGAGACTCAAATAGAAATTAAATTGAGAATTAAACAGTCCCAATTTGCAAAAACAAAACCCTATCCAAATTAGATATGCCCAGAAACAAGGCATGAAAATAACTGCAAAATCGAACCATGATGTAGCACAATCCCAATTATTCTTATCATAAAACCTAGAAATTTTCCCAACCAAACTTCGGCTTACTAAAACAAAGACAAAGGGGGTAAAGGAAAAATTGGCAAAATGAAACTTACAGTTTACAGGTTTTGGAGTAATCGCGAGTGAGAATATTGTAACCACTGGACATTCGAGTATCAGCTGCGATAACACAGTAATCGGCTCCAGCTATGGCAACGCAAGATCTGTAAATCCAAAAAATAACAATCAATCAGCATTCAGCTCCGCATCAAAAAAAACCGACAACACTTTATTTAGACATGGAGACAGAGAAATCACCCTCCATTGTTGTCGTAAGGAGACCAGTTAGCATGCTGCTTAGCCATGGTTAATGGAGATAAGCAGAGGAAAACAAGAGCAGAAGAGAGAAAAAAAAATTGCAGAAATTGAAAGATCGGAATCGTTTCTTTTATTCGTAGCCTACTTCGGGAACACGAAAATCAGAGTTCTGTATTGTAGACTGGGGTTGGGCTGAAGCCCTACTAGGCTTGCAAGCCCAATCACAAAATTCTCAGGCTTGAAAACTTGGATTTTGATTTTGCAGGCCTAGGCCCTGTATGGCACCTGGAGTTGGGTTTTATATTGGACCAAACGGCGATGTAATGGTTGGACTTGAGTAATATAGTTGAATAACTTTAGGTTTCAAGTTTCACAAATTTAAGTTTGGTACCAAATAGGCAGTTTACCCAACGTCTTTCAAATGTTTGGGCCAAGTAATCTAAATTCAGACCCAGCTGTTTGCTCCTTAAAGGAATAGTCTAAAGGCCCAGTTAGGCTCTTTAGGGCAAGCTGGCCTATTTCAAGTTCCATTGGGTTGGATTGATCTGTAGAAAAGCCCGGTAAAATGTTCAAAGCTCTTTTTTGGGCCAAGGCAAATATTCAAAGAAAAACGTCAAAAGAAAGACTAATCAAGGATACAAACTTTTCAAAGTTTGCTAATTAAGGATGTTCCCAATAAATCATTTTACAGAACAGGATACGAACTGTTCAATTGGACCCTTCCCTTAAGGAACTTGAATTAAATAAACCTAAAGGACACTAAAGATTGGTGATGGAGTTCAGTTGGACCCTTCTTTAATGGAACTTGAAAAGTGATAAATATGAATTATAACCTTAAATTTCACAGGACCCCAGCACAAAGAAATTAAATAATATATGTGTCGCAAAGAATAAGTCTACATGTAATGAGAAAAATTTAATTGATTTTAAAGGAATGAATCGGGAAGGTATATACATAAGCATGTGCATGTCATATGCTAAGATATGCACACTAGCCACTACATTAATCTAATTAGTAAGTATATAAGCTGTATGCTAACTTGATATCTGACCGTGAAAATGAACAAAAACGAAAATATTTGGTGGTGACTAATTTGTCGACTTCTCATGTATAGTACATCTTCTTTATTAAGGAAACTTATCTGCTTTATTTAATGTCTTTTCGACCCTTTCCAGAAATAACTAATATGTCACAAAACCAGTTAAAGAAAGTAGTTACCCACCAACGAAGGGTTGGATCAAGTGGTAAGCGGTTTGTTCCAGTTTAAGTAAAATCTCGAGTTCGAGCCCTTGTGAACGCAGCAGCCTTTGTTGGGAGATTCACGCACCATCTCCAGGTGCGCGACGCTGGTTGATCCGGATTAGTCGGGGCGAAGTCCCGGATACCGGACGGAAACCAAAAAAAAAAAAGTAGTTACCCAAGAAATAAACAAAATCTAGAGAAGTTCAAAGGATTTTATCATTTTTATTACTACAGTAGGTTACTTGATGAGTCAAATGTCAGAAACTCTAATAGTTTGATAAATTCCAGATTAAGGTTAAGAGACGAAGTGACAGCTGCAATACGCAGTAGAGAAATCGTAGCTTATAAAAAGGAAATGATAAATATGATAAAAGAAATTAACAAATTACAGCTGGAATTAGCCAAGTTAGAGGGAGAAAATCACGCTCTTTTAAGTCAGCTAGTTTACAATCCATTACAATGGCAATAAACCCAGAATCTAGAGGAATCAATATGTATTGTAATGAGTCAATAGATGGTGTTATAGGATATTCCGGAACATGCAGTGGAGAAGCCGCTCAGATTATAAAAACTGGTAGAAGATGTAGTTATTGCCGAAAGGAAGGCCATAACATTAGAAGTTAGAAACTGTCCACTTTTAGGAAAAGCTAAAATAAAGAAAGAACCAGGTACTAAGAAAAGTAAACCCACTGAGTGCGGTATATGTAGGAAACCAGGTCACTGGCGCACTACTTGCCCTTACCTTTGCTTACCCCCCAAGAAATGTCAGCTATAAATACAATCCCAAACCATAGGATGAACCAGGCATTGCAGAATAAGATGGATTCACATACCTTAGAGCTCTTAGTCCAAGTTGCAGAGAAAGTAGATGAGCTAGGAAAAATCATGGAAGCAAGCTACCAGAGGATAGCCAACATTGAAGATAGGCTTTCGAAGATAGAAAGAACAATGTCAAATGAACAGCAGCATCAGTCATTATTTAAAGGAGATTATGGTAAGTTCAGAAATCTTATAGAAGAAAGTAAGCAGACACGACTTAAGTTCAGAAATCTTATAGAAGAAAGAAAGCAGAGACGACGTGAGGTCAGTGCACTTGAAGACTTGCCATAGTAAATTATTGTATCAATATAGTGAAGTTAATAAAAAGCTTTCATATTCTCAAATAGAATTGCTTACAGAGAAGTTAAAGAAGTATAATAAAATACCTCAATGGGCAGAATTAATAACAGAAGAGCAAGGAAACATACATAGTATAGAAGATAAAATCAACCATTTCTTTTCGCCAAGAGACAGATGACGAGACGACACTTCTTAACTTGCGCTTGCGTCTTGAAGCGACTTTGATCTGTTCCTAGGATCTTTACTAATTTCTATAGCGGCTTGCGTGTACCTTAGGGGCTGGAGAGTCTTTTTATTCCCTATTCTCGGTTGGGGATTACGAGTTTTATCAGAGTCTCCCAACCTTAAGGGCTTACCTAAGTATTTTTATACATCCTTTTGACTTCTTTCTTTATGCTTTTAGTATCTAGTTCTGTATATTTCATAACGTCCTAGTCCTTCTTTCCGATTACGTTTTTCTTCCGAGGTTTCCTTCTTTACTCGAATCATCCCTTGACAATGAGGGCACTCAATAGTTCTATCTGAATACCTTCTATAGTATGGGCTTGTATGTTTATAAAGGTTGAGGTCTTGTACACTAGGTGGCAATGGTTCACTGATCCAATTTCCCATTAGAATCCTTGACTTTACTTTTTCTAACGCTATTCCTACTACTATGGCAATTACTGCGTGTACTATAACCATTAAGGCCTGTATCAAAATTGGACAAAAGTATACTTGACTCCTATACTTGCGTTGATCACATGTATGTTATATAATACTATAATTAGCGCACTCAATACCAAGAGTCCTATGTGTAAATATAATACTCCTGCTAAGGCTGAAACTATATTCATTTTACTTTGTTTTACTTTAGTGATTTATTTTGAGTTCCTGTTATTATGCATAGATTGTTTCCTACAAATCCTTCGTATCCTATAGTTTGTACTCCTAATTTAATGTATGGGGCTTCATCTATGGTTAAAGGGAGAATACGACACTCAGTTAGCAAAGCTAGGAATAATAGATGATTTTAATGATATAGAACACATGCTAGAAAGATTGTAAAACAATGATGCGAGATATAGAGTACTAGCTACTACCTAGCTAGGATGTCAAACAGAGAAAAATTGTGAACATGATTGGATAGCAGGAACAGGGGATGAAGAATGTCCTTGTTTGAGTTGTGGATATTATCCAAGTATAAATAAAAGAGCTCAATGTCAAAATTGTTTTAGAGAAAGTTGTTTAATGTGGCTACGAAGACTCTCAGTAAGTGTTAAAAACTAAGAACCAGAAACCCCTATATCAGAATAAACGAGTATTGAAGGGATTAGGGAACGAATAGATTCTAGAAAAACACAAAACCTTAAAGATGAGATAATTTTACTCTGAAGAAATAAATGAACTACCTTAAATAATATCTAGCATTTCAAGAAAAACTTCTTCTAGATTAATAAATAATATAAAATTAGGAGGTTTTGAGGAAATATTAGTATATGCAGAAATTCTTCTTTCCTGAAGTAGCTGGTTGTTAGTTTCACACATAGCAAGACTACATTTTTTTGGACAGTATATATTATTTTTTAAAAAAAATATTTATAATTTCCTAGGAGATTTGCTGAGAAGTTTCTAAGTTTTTCTTTTTTAAAAAAAAAAAATTATTACTAATATTATATAGCTGTAGACATCGAACTTAAGAAACGAAGTAACAATCAGTTAGCCAGTTGGGTCATCGTTGTTAATTCTAAAAATTAAAATTGGTAATTTAACCTCGTCATAACTATTGCTGGGTCCCCCCCCCCCTCCCAAAACCAAAAAACAGGAAAAAAAGGGGCAAAACCAGAAGTTAAGCCCCTGAACTAACCCCATAATCGCTATTAAGCCCCTAAACTTTAATTGATACATATAAGCCCCTAAACTCTGCTATCAAAGCAATTAAGCCCTTCTTCCTTCTTCTCGCGCCAACTTAACTGCCGTTTGGACTTGCTCGCATGGCTTAACTGCCGTTTATGCTTAGCTGCTTGGATGGCAAAATATTGCCATGTCATGCTTATGTGGCAAAGGAATTAATATTTGAGTGAAATTTTTGACTTATTTGATCATTTAATTTTTTGAATTAAATAAAATCTAAATAAAATAAAGTCATACATTTGGGTGAAAATATTATTTAAATAAAGTCTTAAATTTAAATTTAATAAATAGAGTAATAGATTTTAAAAAAAATTTATGTGATTCATTGTAATTTAATTTTAAATTAGTTGA